AGTTCACACTGGAGTCTGATATGGGCCACATTTAAGTAATAATGTGAACTGCCAAACAAAAAAATCGAATCTGGGAAAAAATTTTGAATTGAGAATTAAGGCCTGCAGTCTGAACGTAGCCTTTGATTCCTTTCTACCCTGATTCCTGTGGTTAATTGCCCTGCCTGCTTGTGTGTGTGTGTGTTTGTGTGTGTGTGATGTGCCCTTGTACTGTATATGTTGTTGTCATATGTGTTCAGTCCTTGTAGTGTCATCATCGTTTGTCGAGTGTTTTCCTGGTTGTTGGTGTGTCAGAGACCTGTTTGGATTTATGTTTATGTTAGGAAACTTGCCTCTGTTTGGACTTCTGCTTGATGTCATGTAAGCCTGAGAAATTCTGTTGGAGTTATAATAAATCACACCAACTCTATCAGAGCCTCTGGGTCCAAAACTCTGTTTCTTGCCTCAATACTCTGCCTTTGTGATAGGGCGTAGGTTTCGTTTCTACATAGGGGGAGACACACATTAAAGGAACAGTAAGTGATTGTAATCCAATAAACTTTGTGTGTGCTCTGAAAACAAATTTAGTTTTCCTTTACAGCCCTGAGGGCTGTTCGCAAAAGCAGAATTTAGAAATCCAGGATAACAGAAAAGACAATAATAAAGGTTTACGATGAAAGCACAAGCACATATAAAAAAAAGAAACAAAAGAAAAACGGAGGTGAGAAAAGACGTGGCAGACAATAGAAGACCGACTGAATAAGTAATTAGCTAAAAATATCACTGCTCTTAAAAGAGACCTATTATGCTTTTCCACAATTTATGACTTATCTACAATGTTACAATGTTGGATGTTCATGATAAACATGGCCAAAGCTTCAAATAATGAGATTAAAGTACTTAAAAGAAATCCCTGTGAGCAAAAAACTCAGTCTTCTTCTTGTTCTGAATGCTCTGTTTTGCAGAGTAAAACTATGCAACCTAATAACTTAAACTGTGTGCTACCATATTGCCAATATGTAGGCATGTAGGTGGTATTTTAATGCAGGCTAATAAAAAAATATGCAAAACACATACATTTGTTGAAGAAATATTGTGAGCCAGGTTCAGGTGTGAAGAAGTTTCAGACTGATGAAGACTTAAAACAGCAAAGTTTATTGAGCCTGGCTGAGGAGATTCAGTGCCAGCATACAACATGTGAACACGTTAAATGCCAACAATCTGAAGGATAACATCTTGTGGACCCTTTTATGTTTCTGTCTTCCAACTGGTTTCTGTAGGTTTCGCTATTAGGTCATCTTTAGCTGGCTTTCAACTAGAATCAATCTGATGTTTAGACTCCAATGCTACAAGACTCAACCTTGTAAAATTCCCAGAGAACACCTATCTGCAAGCCTGACGCATGAGCTACTATCTCTACCTTTTCAATCTAACTGTTGTCTCCCTAACAGGGACAGTTACATGAGAGGAAGAACTAGAGCTGGTAGGTCAGTGAACACTTGTGGGGTCAGCCACTGACTCTAAGGTAGACCTGTCTTACCTTTCCCTGTTACATCAATTAAGACACCTAAGAATATTCTTTAACCAAACGAACATGGAATAACTGAAAAAACACACTGGTTTCTGATCAGAGTGGCTGCTGACTGAACAGATGAGGCATCAGATTTAACCAAGCCTGGCTGTTAACCTGGTCAGAGAATAAATCACCATGGTAACTGGCTCAATTCAGCCAGGATATCTGGAAAATCCCGACTTAATCTGTTATCTTGGTTTTATGAAACAGCCCTCTGATTCTGTAAATGTGAAAACAAAGAAAGAGGTTAGTGCTCGTGCACAGGAGCAATGGGAGAGAGAGTTCTATACACCGGCATATTGGAATGTGTTGGACTCCAGGCACTGTGAAGAAGGAGAGATGACGAGAAACTGCCAAAGAGAAATATGTCTCAAGAGTATAAACAGAGAAGAAAGTTATATGACCAGGCAAGGACGAAGGTGTTTCAAAGCTGGAGAAATCTCAAAGATCTGAAATGTGGGGGGCGAAGCTTTTGAGGGAGCACTGAAGGGAGGGGTCTATTTTTTTGGCAGTTGAGTTCGAATATGAACAATCCTTTCCTCCCTTTAAGTGGGGTTCTCTGGCTACTCCGTCAGCTGAGTGTCATTTTATGCTTTCTGGTGCATGCGCGTGCCTTTTCTGCATCAATTTATGTTGGAAATGTCTTTATTTATGTAAAGGCACATCCAAAATTCAGGTGACAAATAAAAATATAATGGATTATCATGCAGTGCGGCTCTCAGACATTCTGTATTAGTTAGCAAACTAGTAAACAACACTTACTTAAACACTTACTAAAAGTAAATTGAAAAAACATTAGGCCCATCTAGTGGTTCCTTCTGGCTACTTCAAGTTATGTATATGTGTATACTGTGGTCAGTCAGGGAGGGCTATGAGATTGATATGATGCATGGACCTGCCATGGAAGTAAATGTAAATGTAAATGCTCTGTACTTGTATAGCGCCTTTCTAGTCTTTTCGACCACTCAAAGCGCTTTTACACTACATCTGCATTCACCAGTCACACACATTCATACACCTAAGTGCTCAAACAGAAACTAACATTCACACTCACTCATACACTGGCGGAATAGCCGCCAGGGGCAATTCGGGGTTCAGTATCTTGCCCAAGGACACTTCGACATGCAACCAGGAGCCAGGATTGAACCGCCGACCTTCCGATTAACGGCCAACCCGCTCTACCTCCTGAGCCACAGCCGCCCCGTGAACTAAAGTGTAACGAGTGTTTTTATAGTATTTTTAATTTTATTTATTCAGGGGAGCTTCACTGAGAGGAAGCCTCTCTTTTTCAAGAAGACCCTGATCACATTAACACCTGGAAGCTGCCCAGTACAACCACAGTTTGAGCTGCTGGCCACTGAGCAGCTCCATTGGAGCAGTTGGGGTTAAGGGCCTTGATCAAGGGAAGCTCAGTGGTGCTAAATGAGGGTGGGCAAGTACTGCATGTTCATTTTCCACACGGAGATTTAACCTGCCGGTCCGTGATTTTAAGCGGCAACATCATGGTCACAAGATTGATTTTCTAGGCCACCAATGAAGAAGAAGAAGAAGACAGTAAAGAGAAGACAACAGAGAGGGTCAGAAATAAAGAAGGACATGCAAAAGAATGATACGCAAAAACCTAGAGTGAACTGTGAAGTACTGATGAAGATTTTCGGCAATGTCACACAGATAAATGGGTTATTACTACACACTTAAATCATAAACCATTCATTTTGTCTTTGCATGTAGTGAGAGTTCTAAATTGTCATCATTCAGTGTGAGACACCATGTTGCAGTGTGTTTTTACATCATCTCAAGTTTCAGCAAAGAGGTAATTTCAGGGTCCTAATATTGGACTTTCTCTATATTGAAACAGTCTGTCTGTAGTCAGAGTTGTCCCTAAATGAAATGTACAAGATTTTGTTTCTCCAGCAACCTAACATCGAAGATTAAAGTAATTTCCCTCACAATTTAGCTTTTTTAATTTATAAAGGGACACAGATAACATGCTGTATACTTCCTGTGAATATAATCCAAATAATCATAATTACATATACAGTATGTATTTTGTATGCTCAGAGTTAACATCTTTTTTGGAAAACCAGATGTGGTTGCATGTGAATCCTCCTCCAGTCCATTACAGGTCCCCCCTGTCTTTTTTTTTTTTTTCAGTTTAAAAACGTTATTGTTTCAATACAACATACAGACAAACAGTATGAGTACAGAGCGGAGAACTTTCCAGGGGGAATAAAAACACAGCAAGGAAAATATAAGGTATGCATAAAAAGAAATAAATAAAATGAAAGGAGCGGGGCCTTATAATCTACGAATATAATGTGTAAAGTAGGCTACATAAATTCACCGTTTTGATAGCTTTCTTGTTTTGGGATGAGTTTATCATACCTATATATAGTTTAATTTCTTTCTTTAGTAAGGTAAATATTGGTTTGGCATTAGTAAATTTACATTTCTGGATATAATATTTAGCAAAAATTATTATAAGGTTAATGCAGTATGGTAATCAGCCATGATACTGCCACCACCACCCTGAGGCATTGTGTTCTAGTGGTTTGTCAAAATAAAAGTCCTCTGCTGCTTTCTTGTTTTTATTGGATGGATTTACAAATGCTCATGTTCCAGATGTTGAGGGAGACGTGTCCCCTGCGTGACCCCTGAAATCTATGGCTGTGCTGAGCGGCTCTTTTCAGTTTGAGAGGTGATTTCTTATTTTCATTCTTTTTTTAAATAAATGAATAATTGGATCATCCTAAGTATCCAGCCAAGCATAGTGAGACTTTTATATGTTGGGCTTGTTGCCCCGTCAGAGCACGTGTTATTTAAATGGAAGTAAAATAAATGCATAATTGCAAGACAAATAAATAAAAATTTTTAATAGAGCAGAAATAATTTTGTGAACATCAGAAATGGTACTTTGAGACATCTCTCTAATAAAGACAGAAATCTGTGTGTGTGTTTTTTTTATTTTGTTTACAACTATTCATCCAATTGACTCGCACGTGGCGGTGTGTTGCTGTGGACCTAAAAGAGTGCAGTGTTGCATTTGGTGCAATTTGGACACGTGACAAGTTCAGAATTAGGCTAATACACACTTATTATGTAAAAGGGCTTTGAGTGTCTGTCCCATTTTACCTGAACATGTCATCTAGTGAGGTAGAGGTTCTAAGGTCCAAAGTTACTAAAGCAACGTATTTCATTTAGAATATAGCAGAGATCCATAACAAGTTCCAAAAGCAGGCAAACGCTTAAGGTAGTCTTCAGCATTTATTTTAAGGTGGTTTTCTGTGTAGCCCATAGTAACAGAGTGAGTGTCATGAATCACTACTGACAAATCAAGCCACAAATAACTTGCTTCCCTGGAAATTTAGCCTACTCAGACCTCTGTAAGACTGTTATTGACTCCTCCTTGAGCCCTTACATATGTTCATGTTGGCAGGGTGGTTGACGGGGAATTCCACAAACGTCCTGGGACAGTGTGGGTGCGCCTTGCTTATTGATATGACAGAGATGAGGAGCACATGTAGGCGGAGAGAAGCTGCGACCTTCTCCTTCCCGCCCCGGACATCCATTCATCCACCCGGATCAACACCGTCTCTCCTGCTGACACTGTTACAACATGTGAAGGACAGCCAATGAGGGCCTTGAGCTGTTGGAGCTGTAGTTCGTTTGAGAGACTGACCGGGAGACGATCAGCAAACAACAGAGGAAGCTCCCAGACTCAACGGCCGATACGATGAGCTCCGTCTGCCTCACGCTGCACGGTAAATCCCAGCCACTGAACGATGGGGCTGAATACAGAATTCTACATTTGGCACACAGGAGTTCTTCTAACTTTGCTTTTGTTAGTTTTTGTTATTCATTCTAAGCAAAAGCCAACAAACGTGTATGAAAATGTCCTTCGTGAGTCTGCAACATGGATGGTTGTCTCTGCTCTTCTTGCAGCACTGCTGCTGTGCGGGTTCCTCAGAGCGCAGCTGCAGCTGCTACCCGGGTCCTGCAACTTTGAGCTGGGTACCTGTGGCTACACATCTGATCCAGAGTACGGCAGCTGGAGCATGAATGAAGAAGGTAGTGTCATCATGAACTCTGCTTATTGACATAATAAACATGGAATACTGCAGTAGTATTACCAGACAACAGCCTCATAAAACAGTGAATTATTGTGGTGATTTTATTGTTTATGTAAGCAATGAAGACAACATGGCATGACAGTGAAAGCAGTGAAAAGGTAGGCTACCACATACCAGCATGCAAGACATTTAAATGAGGTCAGTGGTGACGCCCTCAACTGCCCTAAGTTATTTTCTCTCTCTCTCTAGTCTCTAGCCTATGCACAGCTGTTATCATGACCTAACAAAGGGCCATACCCACCAAAAAAGGTGGCTGTTAATTTTAATTATAAAAATATTGCTCTCAATAGTAGGGGGTGTTAACTCCAGTAATACCCATTCACATCAACTCCTCTTTAACAAAGCACATTTCATACAAGCATGCAGCTCAAAGTGCTTCAAAGACCAAGAGCAATACTAGTTAATGAAATATCCACTCGGTTGGAGCCATATGCTAATATAACACGTGAATTTGCAAAATTACACTACAGTTGTGACACATATGAGCCAGCAGTTTCCTTTACAAATAGAGAGGTCTCAGTTCAGTTTTGAGGTGAGAAAAATGCTGAGTTTGTGTGTTAGTGTGTGTGTTTGAGTCACTGAGATGGAAAACATGACAGGGATTTTCCTGTCATAAATCGGGATGTTCATTGTTGCATCATATCTCCCACTGTGTTCTTGTGGTAAAATCCTAATTCTACTGTGTGACATCAGCTATTTTCCCCATTTTCCTCTTTTTCAACTCCTCTGTGTTCTTTCATCGCTCACTACAGCAGTAGTGTAATAGTAGTGTGGGGGAAAATTTACCTCAATCGAGGTAGAAACACAGGCCTTAAAGATCCTCTCCAGATATCACGCTAAAAAGTTCAATTACCCAGTAGAAATTCTTAAAACCACATCTACTCATTCTCCCTCAGTGAAACATCCACAATGTATGATACAAATATGTTTCATTTCAAAAGTACTGGGGACAAGATGTCTTCACCGAAAACCCAGCCTGGTGTGCAAAATGCCACCACCAAAATATAGGCCTATTTGGGACCCATATAATGACAGAAACCTTTAAGCCATCAGGTGAGCGAGACCCCGTAAAAGCTCATCAGATGGTCTGTTGTGATGTCAGATACTGGTAGTTACTGGTAATCTCATTGAGCCCATTTGTTTTTGCATTTTTCTTGAAATCGTATGATAATACTCATGGCATCATTTGTGCGATATTTAGGAGGAAGTGGTGGAACAGACTCTATAATGTAACAGATGGCTGCAGGCTAGCATTTCCACTTTCATAGTCAGGACTCAGAATTTTCCAGGCTGCATCTGATTTTTTTCTGTTTTTCTTCTTTCATTTGGAGTAGTTGGCCTCCAGTGTGGTTTCTGTCACCTTTTCACCACTGTTGTCCTGAGAGTGGTATAGACAGCCGTGTGTCTCCTCTGATACACATGGGCAAAAAATACAGCAGCCACGCCATGTGTCAAAACACTACTGTATTTTTGTATTTAAATATACTATTAATACTTTTCCAACCATAAAATCACTTGTCAAACCTTCTATCAGCCAATTTGATCTATCCCTTTACCAGAACACTGACTCAGCTGATTAAGTGGACAATGTTTGAGAGCAACAGGTTTTCTCTGCCTAATGAGTCATGCAACCAGTTAACAGATCAAATATTCACATATCACTGTGCTCACCCATAAGTATTTTTAAAGTAACCAACATTTTGATGTTTAAGTAACAGTTTGCTAATGACTCCTAATTGCATCCTAATTTAGTGACTTCCCAGATAGCAAGACTACACTGAATAAATATTGATTTTCCATCTGAATCATCGGAGTGGTTGAGATTGAAATCTCTGTCAGTATTGCAATACCGATGAAAAACGACCATATATGAGCATGACATTAGAATAATATTGATTTATAGTTGTCCCGATTATACTTGATTAAGCACTGATTTGTAGTTGACTGGGTAACAACAACAAATGTTAAAAAATCATCTATTTATAGTTGACCAGAAATTATGTGATATTGAAAAGCCATTGATTTATAGTTGACGCTGACTAACTATAGCCCATATACTGGAATCAGAGTGTGTGAATGTGCTGCTCTGCCTAATCATTGCAGCTTTACAGACATAGTCAAACCAGGACCAGTGCTGATTCATTATTACAAAATCTTTGGCTTAGTGCACAAAGTAAGAGTAAGGGGGAGTGGTTACTCTTGAACCAAATGAAACCAGTCTGTGGAGTGCAATTTCTATCACCAGGCAGAAAGAGGGGAAGGGACACTGACCAGAGCTGTATGAAGATGTGACATGCATGACTTAAATGTAAACGCTCCGTATTTGTATGCGCCTTCTAGTCAACCACTCAAAGCACTTTTACACTACATCTGCATTCACCCTTCACACACTGAGTCTTAAGTGCTCAAACAGAAACTAACATTCACACACTGGTGGAACAGCCTTGCCCAAGGAGACTTTGACATGCAGCCTGGAGGAGCCGGGGATTGAGCCGACCTTCCAAATAACGGGCAGCCCGCTCTACCTCCTGAGCCACAGCCGCCCCTTAAGTGTAATTTATACTTCTGTATCAAATCGACGACTTGATTTATACTCTTGCGTGGGGTCTGCGTAGAGTCCTCATAGCACAGTTTTACTCGCATACCTTCATGGCATTTTTCTTTTGTAAAACTTTGACTTATTACAATAGGAATATTACGGCTTTATTTTATTTATTTACTTTATTCTTGTGATATTGTATTTTTTGTTGGTAAAATTACAACTTATACAGTTACTTAAGGTACTTTCAGTCAAGCCTTAAAGCTCAATTTAAATTGAGACTTTTCTCCTGAATTCTTAGTATTCAGAACTTTCTGTCCTTTGCAGTATGGTTTCTGGCGCTGTACAAAGCATCTGCCCCACAACACTCTCTCTGTCTCTCTGGTGGATTTCAGGTGGAAGAAAGGGAATTTGTGAGCAGATGATAGCGAGGTAGAGAAGAAAGAGAGCCACATGTTTAATTATGGCTTTTGTGGAGGTTTTTCGTTTATCGTGGCTCCGTCTGGTGGGGAAACAGCTGCTCTAGAGTGATGCCAAAGTCGCATCAATTCCAGCCTGAGTATCGAGACTCAGGTCGCATTTCAAAAGATCTGATCTGTTTTGGATTTGGACCACATATGAAAGTGGCCCAAATCCGAACTGGAAAAGACCAGATTCCATATGACTTGGCCTGTTCACACTGTCATAAAAAGATCAGATCTGAGTCATATACGAGCAAAAAAATGGTATTTGGGTCACTTTGGCCTGCAGTCTGAACGTAGCCTTTATCTCATTTTATGATTTTTTTCCTGAAAAAATCCCTAAATTTCAGATATTTTTCCCCAGACAGTGGCCTTCATATAAGCTGACTTGAAACTTTCTAACATAAGTAATTACACTGAGTTCTTGGTAAAAGATGAGACCGTGTGAGATGTGCTGAATTTTGATCTCCTGCATTATAGAAGTGTGTTTCTGCATTCCACATGCCAAGTCAGACATTCCGATCAACTCCCAGTCTTGTTTTTCAGCGGCTGCTTCATTGTGCACATCAAGCCACAGAGCGTCCCAGAACAGCTCCCTCTGTTTTGATAATCTGTCAGCACAGTTTATGTTCCCACTGTTAAGATAAGTGGCTGTACTCTACATTGTGTGTACCATCTCTTGTCCAGCCAAGCCTTTAGTTCTTAGCGTGTACTCACTATCGCGAGTGCACTGCATGTTCCCTGTGACAGTGAAAACAGAGCTCTACCCCAAACAGAAGTTTTAGCAGAGACCCAGCCTGGTGTGCACTAAACCACAAACCAGACTGAGATGGCATGAGCTCTAACCACCAGCCTGGCCTTGGAAATGGTGATAGACTACACCCACTGTGGCAATAAATAGGCTCATAAAAAAGAAGACAGGACCACGGTCGTGTTTTCTGTTTGGTTGCCATGACAATGTGGGCTTGAGTGGAAGAAGCTGCACCAAAAAAAGAACCCAAGGCAGAGTTTGTGATTAAAACCTGGATGGGCGTCCTAGGTGATTATATTCACTAAACAGAGACATCAGAGACAAAGACTTCAAACTGTGCTGGAATAGGATAAACAAAAAGGCAGGGATGGATGGAGTGAGGTAGAGAGCTGTCAGGGACTTACTGCTGTGCCACAGACCACCACGAAGGAAACGCCTTATCACTCTCTGGACTGTTTAGAGCTCTTCCCAGCCAGTTTCTGACTTCAGATATGTTGACAACTTAAGGTGAAATGTTCTGCTAATATTAGTGGCTCTTAACTCTGTAGAATACTCCGTAAACACTCCTCCTTTCTCGTCTCTTCTCTTCGCCTCCTCTCCTCTTCTAAACTCCGGTCTGTTGCAACTGAACAAAAGTTTAATTTGCTATAACAAACAGTGCCTATATTGTTTTGCTGAAAATGCTGGATTCTTGCAGTAAATGATACTGACAATGATACTGTGGTACACAATGTCCAGTTTGTGGAGCCTGATATGTTGATGTTGCTGATATTATAAGCCAGTTTTAGTTTATCAAAGGCCCTATGTGTGTGTATGCCAGCCTCACTGTGTCATCAATACAAACATTTTCTTCCCATATTTGCACGCACTGTGCACAGGGGACCAATCTGATGTTTTTACATCACTGATGATCAAAGGCAATAAAATGCTAAGACTAAAAAGGGCGGTAGCTCTGTTCTACTAACAAGTATTGTGTGTATATCCAAAGCCTGGTACATGTTATTCCTCGGTGCTATAGAGCTCCATGTCAATGTGTGTCCACTGAAAATGGCCTGGTGAGTCCCCTCAAAGGGTGACCGCTAGATGTCAGGTTGGCTCCTCAAGTGTTCCATCTTTGGCTCATGGGGTTCAGGAATACGGGATCAGGGCAGACATGTGGTGGTCTAGCCAGCTCAGAGCAGACAGCC